GTGCAGGGGGGCCAGTTCTGCTCGTGCAGGTGGGTTGGTGAACGTCTGAGTCAGAGGAAAGAACCGCGATGGCCATGGCTTTTGCGGCTGTCTTCTGTAGAACCTCTTACTCCAAGCAAAAAAAGCGGCTGGACGATATCAAGGACTCCGCCGCTTACAAGGCTTTCCCGAAGGAAGACAAACAATCAATTGAGGTATCAGGAGAGTTTCTGGAGCTGAGTATGTTTTCATTGTGTACGCAATGAGTGAATGATACAGGACGGTCTGACCGTCGTGCAGAAGCTCATCGATTCAGGCCTCGTCATGAGTAGGCATTGCATAGAGAAGGCGAGGCAAAAAGACGGGATCGGAGACAATGCATATAGACAGATAGAAAAAGACAATTCGGCACCATGTGTGCGTGTTCATTGGCCAGTCATCTTCGGTGCATTCGGCCTGGTCGGCCTCGTGGTTGGCGCTGTTTTCAGGTGACTACAAACACAACGAAAGCGTCTTGTGCTGTGTCTCGTCACACATATGTATATCTTCAGCGGCCTGTCCACCAAAGACGCCAAATGGCAGATGCCTGGTCCTTATCCGAAGAGAGAGAGAGAGAGAGAGGGAGGGAGGGAGAGACCTCTGCGTCTCTGATGCGTATGTACAGGCCTCATTGGCTGGATTGTTGGTCTCGTCTTCATCCTCCTCGGTCTGATCGTGTGGGGCGCGATGACCGCCGAGGGGTAAGGAGACATGCAGACGGAAGGGGGTCAGATGCATGTGTCTCGGCTCTTCTTGCAGCACCGATGCCGACCAAGTGTCCTGCTCGGACGACAAAGGCAAGGACCGCGTCTGCCCCATGGGCCACAGCTCGATCCTCGGTGAGACAGGATCCCAAAGCCAACATTCATCGACTCGACTCACTTTCGTCCATGCGTGTGCTTCTTCAGCCCTGGTGGGATTCCTCCTCGCTGTGATCGGCACGGTCCTCCACGCCATTCCTTCGAAATAGACGGCCGGCACACGACCACAACCAGCCGCACTCACACACACTCACGCAGTATGTATAACGTATGCCCATCATAGGTACCGAGGGGAAGGGGCGTTTCTCGTTTGAGTCTGCGCCGCTGTCTGTCCGTCCGTCGGTCTGCCTGTCTGTCTGTCTGTCTCCAACTTCTCATCTTCTCTTGCCTGTCCGTCGCTCTTTTGTTCCCCTTTTTTCCCCTGTAGGCTCATATGTACACACAGACATAGATACATACACATATGTACACACAAAATACCACAGACACACACAGAGGCACGCACACAGACACACCTTCGCAGGTGGCTTGCTAGTTTGCTCTGAGGTTTGCTGCTTTGAGAGATAGGAGAAAAGGTCGATACGGACTATGAATGATCCAGAACAACTGAATGATGAATGAATCGATGCGCAGGACGGTTCACAGTGCTATTATTTTGTCCATCCCTGAAGCGCAAGGAATGCTCGAGCATCGCGTCAAGATATAAGCTCACCGACGCTCCCGAATGCGGATGGCAATGAGTACCCGTTGGTTCGCCCATCACCGCAGCATCGCCTTGGCGATGCTCAACTCGCTCACTGCGGCACTGCGTCCCTCTCATGCATCCGCGTCGTCCTCCCTCCCGGCATTCTGGAGCAGCACCTCACAGATCTGGTCCTCCATCTCGCCCATGCGACGCCCGCTGTCAACATCTGCCACACACCGACACGTCTTGCCACAGGCAGCCAGAAGGCGACGGCTCACACCCTCCATGCAGATGCTGCCGTTCTCCCCTCTGGATTACAGCGGTGACGACCTGCTGGTTGCGCATCTCATCGACACCAAGGTGCATCCGATGTGGCTGGAGAGGCTCAAGAAGCTGGAGAGGCCGGCTGCCAAGGAGTTGATCCCTTCTCTCAGGGGCGAAAACATGTTGGGTTTTGACGCGGCGAGCAGTCTGGTGAAGAAGGGCACGCTGTTCGAGTGGGTGCTGCAGCAGAAGAGGAAACACCCAGACAAGGTGCTGCTCGTCAGAGTGGGAGGTGAGGAGGGAGGGAAGGGTGCACACCAGAAGGAAATCGATGGACGCACACATTCATCCTTGCTTGATGGTTGCACGTGGATGATTCCGTGGCTGTTTGTGTGTGAACGTCAGAGTTCTACGAGACCTACGGGATTGATGCCCTCATGATGGTTGAGGTATGCAAAACGCCTGCATTGTCCAACATGCCTGCCAATACGACTGCATCGAACACCTATGCTGCTTTCCTCCCTCCCTCCCTGCAGTATGCCGGTCTCAACCCAATGGGCAGCAAAGCAAAGGCAGGTAAATGGATGGACGGATGGATGGACGGATCAAACATACTATCCGGCGCACAGGCAGAGAGGTAGAAATGCGCGTGCTCCGTCCGTCTGGTGTATGCAGGTTGCCCGATCCGCAACATTCAGTCTACGCTCGACAGTCTGACGCGGGCCGGCCTCACAGTGGCGGTTTTCGAGGAGCTCAGCGACGCTGACGCTGAGAGGGGACCGCCCAGCAAACGAATTAAAAGGTCATAAGGCGACTGATGGAGAGAATTTGATGGCCGTAGGTGTTTGGTCTGGTTGCAGGCGTGTGTTGGCACAGATAGTGTCACCCGGCAGCTCTACGTACCTTTGTAAGGGCGGCCACATGCCACTTGACGTGACGGATACACAGACGCAGCTGAGCTGTTTGTGTATCTTTGTGTGTCAGATGATTTGTGTCTGCGTGCTGACGATGTCGGCTATCGTGAGAGCAGACCGTAAGTCGACAAAGAGCAGAACTCCTCGAACAATGCTGTCTTTGCTTCCGTTGCGTTGTTCAGGTACGTCGCGCTCATGGGGACGGCATCAGGGTAACGTCTGCACGACTCACCGACGATTTGTAGACGTGTTGGTTGTGTCTGTCTGAGCGCAGCTATTCGATGTGTGAGATATTTATCGAGGAGAAGTTTGTGCGTGTGGCCGACCGGTTGACGCAAGAGGCGGCGCGCGTCAAGGTCGAAACTGCTGGTACGTCGTACGTCACACACGAGTGAAGAGAGCCAAGAGAGAGGGTGACCGCTTAAGCATTGTATGTGATTGCTTGTGTGAACATATCAGGTGCTGTGGAGCCTATCTACATGCAGGATGTGTCAGAGTTGCTGCCGTTCCTGCCAGACTACCGTATCACCTTCAAAGGCCACCCCACGGCCTCCCACTTCCACACCGCCGTCCTCAGAGACGTCTGCAAGAACCTGCAAATCAACCCGGCAGAATTCCAAGTGAGAAAACCACACCACATACGCACAGACGTTGATGCAGATTATGCGGGTTCTGTCTGCCAGGTGGTGACTGGTACAGACGAGGATCGTCCGCGGCCTTTGTACACGTCTACGGTGACCCAGATAGGGCTGATCAAGACCTCTTCCATCCCGGTAGGCAGGCACCGACACACCCAGAGCACGCCAGTTCTGTGCTATAGTAGCTTGCTTGCCTTTTTTGGCGGCTGGCTGCTCTCCGCCCCTCCCTCCCTCCCTCCCTGCCTGTCTGCCTGGCTGCATGTGGTCTCTCTCTCGTCGCTCGAGTACATCCATCAGCAATCGTTGCCTTCCATGCAGGACCTCGTGCTGTCCCTCTTGCCCGACAACCACGCGGCTCACTCGAATCGCTTCTTGAGGAGGTGGATCCTCAGCCCGCCCCCCTATCGGCTGGCAGACTCGATGCGCGACCTCTGCACCGCCCTCAGCCGGCTGCCGTGCGGCCTCCCGCCATTGAGACCAGTCCCTATCGGCAAACTCGTGAGTCTGATATCGGCTCGCGAGTGCAACGCGCCGTTCTTCCGAGACCTGCAGGACTGCCTTTCGTCGACCGTCGCCATGCTCAATCCTCAAGGTAGGAAAGGCGCGTTTCGTTGCGCGTGCCAACCAACATGCATCACGGTGTGGTCTTTTTCTGTGTTTCCTTTCAGGCTCTCTTGCCCAGAGTGTGCCGACGAAGCTGAGCGATATGTTCGGGGAGGAGGACGGCAGCAGCAGCAACAAGAGCAAGAGCAAGGGCAAGGCCAAGGCCAGAGGGGGCACTCACCACCCCTTTGATGGGGTGGTCGAGCCACTGATGGCGATCCTGGGCCACGAAACAGGGTTGGCGACGTCGAGGGAGCGGCTGCTGGACACCGGCACGCGAATACTGGACAATATCACACGTAAGGCAACTCAACTCCCTCACTCACACACGCACGCCACTATGTTGACCATGTGACCATGTCAGCATGTGTATTCTTTCAGGTGTGGTTCGTCCGGTGACAGAGGAGGACCCGAGAAGCTATGACCCGTTTGGCTTTATCCCCCGGTCCTTCTTCGACAAGAACGAGGAGGAGTTCAGGGGCAAGGTCAACCCCTGCGCCAGCAGTGAGGTCGACGCCGCCGTCGCCAAGTGCGAGGAGGCCGCACTGGCGCTGTCAGAGGCCATAGTCGAGGACTTCTTCAGAGTGCCGCAGACACTCAAGGTGAGAAAGAAGCATGCACACGCAGAGAATGACCTCGTTTGTCCCTGCACCCATGTGTTGCTGTTGCATTCGTGCATCAGGACCGTGTTGTGTCGCGAGAGGGAGAGGTGGTCGACCCCGTGCTGCAGCAGATGCAGCAGAAGAACGACCTCACCTTCGACATATTCAACAACGCCATCTACCTCAAGAAGAAACCTCCCTCAAACGCCCCAGACCCCTTCACGTCAGCCACAGCCAGGAAAGGCGCCAAGCTCGACGCTAAGCAGCAGCAGGAGCCGCCAGTGGAGTTCGTCCACCCCATCGACCGCAACAATCGCATCCTGAGCAACAGGTGGACCACTGAGCGGGTGTCACTGGCGGTGTCGCGGTATGTGGAGGCAGCTGAGGACGCCGCGGCTGCCGTGAGGGAGGCACTGCGGACCCTCAGTGGCGAGCTGCTCATGCACCTCCCCACCCTCACGCAATCGACGCACTTTCTCGTCATTCTACAGGTACGTAACAAGAAACAGGGAGGGAGGGATTGACGCACCACGCATCCATCCTCTGTCTACATGTGTGTCTGCAGGCGGCAGCGTCTCACGTGAGCGCCTCCCTGTGCAAGGGTTGGTGTCTGCCGACGCTCAAGCCAGTGGGTGGGCAGGACATGTCGATGCAGCTCAACGGCCTGGTGCCCTACTGGATGGACGGCAGGGACGGCATCCTCCCCGTCGCCAACTCATTCGACATGGACGGCCTCTTGCTCCTCACCGCACCCAACATGAGCGGCAAGTCAACGCTCATGCGCGCCACGACGGTCGCTGCCCTCCTGGCCAACTGCGGGCTCATGGTGCCCTGCAAAAGCGCAAATGTGCCCAGGTAGGTACGCAGGATGGGGAACGATTCCCTCAGGCGCGTTTCTGCCCGTGTGAGTCGACGCATCTGTGCATTTTGTCTGTGTCGTGTGGTGAAGGTATGACGCGTTCTTTGTGCGGACAGCGGCGTTCGACGTGCCGGCGGAGGGCAAGAGCGCCTTTGCGCTGGAGATGGACGACATCAGGTGGGACGACGAGAAGCCTACATACATATCAGACAGACCGTTTCTTGCCGCTTTTTGTGTGTGGGATGCGTTCGTGCAGGGTGATGCTTCGCGACTGTTCGCCTCGTTCGCTGGTGATGGTCGACGAGCTCGGCAAGGGCACGTCAGCCAGAGATGGAGCAGCACTAGGTCGGTGGGTAGGGCTTACAGAACAGACACCGAATGATGTGTCCTTTGCCTTTTCCAGCTGGAGCTTTGCTGGAGGCGCTTGACAGCGTGCCTGTCAGGGGAATCTTCGCGACGCATCTGCACGAGCTGCTGCACCTGCCACTCGAGTGAGTCAGAAGGCTGAATGCATTCGGCCAAGTGAGACTGACAATGTGTGTCTTTCTCTTTCTTGGCAGAACGCAGACACTGTCGTACCACAAGATGGGCGTGGAGGTCAACGATGCCACGGGGGACGTCAGGTGGACCTACAGGCTAGAGGACGGGTACACTCGACACAGTACACACATGCAGACAGCCGTTCCT